TGGGCCAGCGGACACCTATACATACCATAGGACGTGTCATTATGTAGTGAGGTTGATGGAAAGAGCGCTTCTTTACGAGTACTTCTGGTACGCCTTCGCCACTGTGCGCCAAGTGCCGATGGACCGACGCGATCTCGTAAACGCGTCGATCATGTGTCGACGTGAAGTACACTATACTGCATTGCGCTGCACGACGCTCTGCAAGGCAAACCTGCCAGAGCTCCTGCCAGGCATGGTTTTGGGTGTGGCAGTCGTGGCGTCATGTGTTCACGTACTGTATGGCGGATCTACCTTTCAGAACATACGCAAGTGTTTTTATTGAGCCACATCTCACAACCTTGGCTTCAATTCACTTCGCTTGCTAGGGCGCAGCCCCAATTGTAGTCAATTGTACAAGCTTTTAGCGAATATGCGATACCATGCTTGCTGTTATGCCTACTTTGGCCATCTCTACCCCCGCGTTTCTGCACTACGGCTTCCGAAAGCGCCGCGACGAGACCCGGAAAGATGCACCAAAGAAACCGCTGTATGAGCCATGAGTGTTGAAATGAGTTATCATGAGCCATGAGTGTGAGCAACGTGAGGCACTCTTGCTCGACTTGCAGTTGGAAGTATACGAAACTGAAGTTGGTCGCGCCTGAGACTGCCAGCATCCATCTCTGAAGAGTCCTCGATGTTTCGACGGTTTCAGCGTCAGGCTCACTTCCAGTTCTTCATCCGTTTGCTGAACGCTGTTAGTCATCAATTGCAGCAACATCTGGCACAACACTTGACATCTGCTTTGCGCCGTTCCGTATCCTGGGTGTCTGCATTCTCAGCGGTCACAACGCGTGTTGTGGGTACCATACTCCCGTTTGAAAGTTCGTCTCGTCAAAATCACCATGGACAAGATTCCGACATCATTGGAGCATGCACACCCCTCAGAACAAGGCACCAGGTCGCCTTGGTTGCACCTCACATTTCCTCCATTCTGCGATGGTGACGGATCCAATCACAGCATTTACAATTTAAATGGTACCGCTGTTAGCTAACTCGCAACCCATATGCTTAACCACACGCTATCATCTGATGAATGGTGTCGAGGCGGAGTTTACGTTCTTACCATACATGTAACTTGCATCCGGCAGGCCTGCTGCCGAGTAGACACGCGAGCTACGAGCTGGTTTGCTTCTGAGCCTCACTTTTGTATTTGCTCTCGACCGCCATGGTGGCTTCCAAGCTCGCAATCCTGTCGTTCCTCGCGTCGGCGACGGCCGCGAGCATCTTCGACTACCCGGCGTACA